CCGTACTACGTTCCGCTCCTTCAGCAGGTTCTTGGTCTCCCGCCTTCTACTGGTCCTCCTCCTCCTCCTTTATTGAGTCCACTGCTTGTCCAGTCACAGTCGCAGTTACAGCCAGCCTCTCCACTGCCTGGTCCTTCTCCCTAATCTATACCGACTAGAGGTCTTACAGAGCGTGATGAGCCTAAGTCTCGTCCTGCGTCGCCTGCGTCTCGTCCTGCGTCGCCTGGTAAGAGCAGCGCCTCTGCCACTGCACTGCCTACCCGCTGCTCTCTCTGCCAGTCTACTGCTGTCATGGCCACCCCCAGTGTTCTCACCTTTGACGCTGAGGGTCGGGCTGTTGACTTTGAGGTCTGGGTAGATGATCTGCAGCTTTTCCTACAGTGCGATAGGGCAGACGGTCTCTCTCTGTTTGACCTCACCTCTGGTGCCTCTCCTGCCCCTGCTACTGATGCTGACGCCACTGTTCGCTCACAGTGGGCCACGCGCGATGCTGCTGCTCGCCTTCCTGTGCGCCGCCACTTACCGACCGCTGAGCGCGCGCATTTTAGTCAGTACAAGAGTGCTAAGACCTTGTACGACGCTGTCGTTGCACGCTACTCTTCCCCTGCCACTGCTGCCCTTAGCCGCCTCATACTGCCGTACCTCTTCCCTGACCTCGCCGCTTTTCCCACAGTTGCTGACCTCATTACGCACCTTCGCACTAGTGACATTCGCTACCGCGCTACGCTTCCTGCTGAGTTCTGCGCCAAGAACCCCCCCCCTATGTACATCACCCTCTACTACATAGTCACCCGGCTCCCTGACACCCTTCGCTCGCTCAGGGACCACTTCCTCTCTGTTTGCCCCACCACCCTCACCGTTGACCTCCTCGAGGAGCGCCTCCTAGCAGCAGAAAAGAGTATAGTCGCTGTAGGAGCCTCTCGTGGTGACCCTCGTACCCCTGTCTTTGAGGGGTGCTCCCCCTCCCCCCTCTTGCCCTCTGTTGCCTCTGCTGCTGCGGCCGACCTCGTTTGTCTTGAGTCGGTCGGCGCGGCGTCTGCCCCTAGCGGAAGACGCCGCTCAGGCAAGGGCAAGGGGGGCAAGGGCGCTGGAGGAGCTGGCGGGGGCGGTGGAGGCGGCGGTGGAGGCGGCGGAGGGGGTGGGGGTGGTGGTGGGCGTGGTGGCGGGAATGGGGGCACTAGTGGCGGCAGTGGAGGCGGAGGAGGCGGCGGCGGTGGCGGTGCGAGCGGAGGTGGTGGAGGTGGAGGCGGTGGTGGAGGTAGCGGCGGCGGAGGTGGAGCTGGTCGGGGCGGCTCTTCGCAGCGGGTCGGCTCCGGTGGTGGTCAGCGCCAGCAGCAGCTTCGTGAGTGGTACACTGCTCGTCAGCGGGGTTGGGGTGCTGGCCCCTGTACCTACGTTCTATGTACAGGCGACCGCACGGGTGAGCAGTGTGGGGGTCTGCACTCCACCCAGCGCTGCTTCGGCCGCCTGACGGACGCTTGGCGTCACCAGTTCCCCGACGCTACTGAGATCCCTCGCTGGGGCGAGCTGTTTAGGGCGGGTGTTGCGATCTTTGATCTTGATTATGATGCTATTCTTGCTGCGATGTATGCTGTGACTATTAGTGATGAGGGTGACTGTTACCGGTGTTTTCCGCCTGACCCGGGCATTGAGGCTGCTGCTCTAGGTGCTGGTGAGGCTGCTGCTCTAGGTGCCAGTGAGCCTGCTGCCCCAGGTGCTGGTGAGTCTGCGCTCTCAGGTACCGCGTCGGCTCCGGCCACCCACACCTTCACCCTTGACTCGGGTGCTTCCCGCTCCTTCTTTCGAGACCGCACCATGCTTACGCCGCTTAGTCGGCCAGTGGCAGTCTCCCTGGCAGACCCCTCTGGGGGTCCTGTCCTTGCCCACTTCTTCATTGTTCTACCGTGTCCGGCGGCCCCTTCTGGCACCCTGTCGGGTCTTTACCTCCCCTCGTTCTCTACGAACTTGGTGAGTGGTGCTGACCTCCAGGATGGAGGGGTTCACCAGTTCACTCCTGCGAGTCAGCGAGTGACCCACTGTACCTGTGCTCGGACGGGTCGTCCTGTTCACCCTGTTCGCACGGGTCGTCGTGTTCCGCATCAGCGTCCTTCTCCTGTCCCCAGCACTCACTCTATGACTCTGCGTCCTTCCACTGCTCCACAGCGTGTCCTTCTGCCGTCTCCTCCTGCATCCTCTCTTCTTGCACTTGCTGACCCGGAGTCTGACTCCCTTCGTACTGCTAGTCCTACTGGATTGCGTCTCCTGGCCACTGTTGTCACTGACCCTTCCTTTGAGTCCACTGCTGCGTCTGCCTTAGTTGCTGAGCTTGTCGACTTTGCTCCTCACTGTTGTCTAGACTACGCCGCTAGTCTTGTTGCTGAGTCCGAGTCTGCGTCTGTCTGTCCTATGTCCGTCGGGGGTGAGTGTGCTCTTGGCACGGACGTCCTTGAGGACAGACAAGAGGAGTTTGAGTGCTTTGCCGCTGCTGTACCTCATCTCGTGTCCATGCTGCTTGCCCCTGAGGGAGACCCGGATGCACCAGACATCCAGACCCCGCGCTCTTACGCAGAGGCGATAGAGGGTCCTTACTCTTCTCAGTGGCAGGCAGCCATGGATGCCGAGATGGCTTCCTGGAAGTCCACAGGCACCTACGTCGACGAGGTTCCCCCGCCTGGGGCGAACATCGTCAGTGGCATGTGGATTTTCAGGGTGAAGCGGCCGCCGGGTTCTCCGCCTGCCTTCAAGGCGCCTTACGTTGCACGAGGCTTCAGTCAGCAACAGGGAGTTGAATTCTTCCAGACCTTCTCCCCTACCTCGAAGATGACCACTCTTCGGGTGCTGCTGCACGTCGCTGCTCAGCGTGACTACGAGCTACACTCGCTTGACTTCAGCACAGCCTTCCTGGAGGGCAGCCTGCACGAGGAGATCTGGCTGCGCCGCCCACCTGGCTTCACTGGGTCGTTTCCTGCTGGTACCCACTGGAGCCTCCGGCGGCCAGTCTATGGTCTCCGCCAGGCACCTCGTGAGTGGCACGACACACTGAGGACGACTCTTGCTGCTCTTGGTTTTGCTCCTTCCACTGCTGACCCGTCGCTGTTTCTACGCACCGACGCCACTCTGCCGCCGTTCTACGTTCTCGTGTACGTAGACGACTTAGTCTTCGCTACTGCTGACACTGAGGCACTCGCCCACGTGAAGTTGGAGCTGCAAAAGAGACACACGTGCACAGACCTGGGTGAACTGACAAGCTATCTTGGCTTGCGGATCACCCGGGACAGAGCACAGCGCACCATTACCTTGATTCAGTCACACATGGTGCAGCAGGTCCTTCAGCGCTTCGGCTTCACATACTCCTCGCCACAGTCCTCTCCTCTGCCTACCGGTCACTCGCTCTCAGCTCCACCTTCGGACGAGTCAGTAGAGCCGAGTGGCCCGTATCCAGAGCTTGTGGGCTGCCTCATGTACCTGATGACTTGCACACGACCTGACCTCGCATACCCTCTCAGCCTTCTAGCTCGCTACGTGGCTCCCGGCAGGCACCGAAAGGTGCACTGGGATGCTGCTAAGAGGGTGTTGCGCTACTTGTGCAGTACGTCGAGCATGGGGCTCGTGCTTGGAGGACGGGCTCGAGGTGTCCTCACTGGTCACGCAGACGCTTCCTGGGTTGACGACTTGGCTACGCAGCGGTCGTCATAGGGTTACACCTTCAGTCTTGGCTCCGGCTCTGTCTCTTGGCGGTCTACCCGCTCGTCTTCTGTTCTCAGCTCCAGTTGTGAGGCTGAGATCTACGCTGGGGCCATGGCTGCACAGGAGTTACGCTAGCTCACCTACCTGCTGACCGACTTGGGAGAGGCGCCTCGTTCTCCTCCAGTTCTGTACGTCGACAACAAGGCAATGCTTGCCTTGTGTCAGGAGCACAGACTGGTGCACAGAACGAAGCACATTGCTCTGCGCTACTTCCTTGCTCGAGAGTTGCAGCAGCGTGGTCAGCTTCGTCTTGCTTACGTGGCCTCTCGGGCCAACACTGCTGATGTTTTCACCAAGGCACTTCAGCCTTGTGATCATCAGCGTTTCTGTACTGTTCTAGGCCTTGTACCTACTGTGCCACACTTGCTTACTTCTTGACTCTGCTTGTACTGTACTCTTTATACATATACCTGCATGCTTACATTTGCTAGGTTGTGTTCATTGTATTGTTTGTTCTCCTTTATATAACTCTGCATGTGAACTGGCCTTGTGGCCATTTGCTTGTGCTCAGACTGCGTGGTGACTTTGTGATCCGCCCTGAGCTTTCTTTTCCTTCCTTGACTGGTCTTGTGACCTCTTGTTCTCCCCCACTTTGCCTATGGGGGTGTGTCAAACTTATATGCTATAGTCTGTTTAGGCTGTAGTGGGGTAGTTCTTATAGGGTACAACACTTTTAGGTTTCCTACTTGTACCCACCTGCTTTCTAGTTCAGTCATTCATTCGTTCACGATTCTGACATCGTTCGTCGTCGCACCGCCTGCATTCCCTGCCTCGGCCTCTCTCCACACGTGCCGCCCGTGCTGCTTGTTTCCGACGCACCTCCACGCCTGCTCGTAGATTGTCCCTCAACCCAGTACCGGCGCTTGGCTAAACGTGCAGTTAAAATGCGAGGGACGCGCTATACACATGATGAGTGAAGGACGAACGGGTTAAAGGAAGAGAGGGATAATTGTTAGGGGAACGATGCGGAGAGAGAGGGCAAGCCGATGGAGGAGGAAAGGAGAGAGGAAGGGAGGAGGGAGAAGGGAGAGGGGGAGGGTATCGCAGGGAAGGAGCAACAAGAGGGTGGGGAAAGTGCGAGAGCAAGGCGGCAGTACCATCTGCTGTCTGTGAGCAACGGGCATGGAGAGGACGCGATTGCAGTCAGCATTCTGAGAGAGATGCAGATGGGGGAAACCAAAGCAGAGAGCATGTGAACAATTGGTATGGAAGAGTGCGACATGCATAGGTCGAGTTGGAATGAAACGCATGCCATGGGCGTTGGTATTGGAGCCTTAGAGTGGGCTGTTTGTGTCCGGCCCATGGGTTCACTATGCGCATCCCTTCACCCATGCTGTCTTTCCAACCCCATCCATCTATACGCACACCCATCCAGGCAGTGGCAGCACAGCGGGGCATCACGGTGCGCATGGAGGCGCTGCTGCTGGTGGGCATGGGGGCGGCATACCACCGCACCATCGGCCCCGCCAAGACCATTCCCAATGGCGGGTGAGCCGCCATTGCTGCTACTGCTGCTGCTTCTTCCACCTCCACCACCACTGCCAGTCACTCACTCTGTGCTCTGGCACTGCTTGTCCTTCAACATACCCCCTGCCCCCTTGCCCCATCGCCTGCACACTCCCTTGCCCCACACTTGCATGTACGCCCCCTTGCCCCATCGCCCGCTCGCGCGCCCCCCTTGCCCGCCCGCGCGCCCCCTCGCCCGCCCTTGCCCGCCCGCGCGGCCCCCTCGCCTGCCTGCGCGGCCCCCTCGCCCGCCCTCGCCCGCCCGCGCGGCCCCTTCGCCCGCCCTCGCCCGCCCGCGCGGCCCCCTTGCCCGCCCGCGCGCCCCTCTTGCCCGCCCTCGCCCACCCGCGCGCCTCTCTTGCCCGCCCTCGCCCGCCCGCGCGCCCCCCTCGTCCGCCCTCGCCCGCCCTCGCGCCCCCCTTGCCCGCCCTCACCCGCCCGCGCGGCCCTCTCACCCGCCCTCGCCCGCCCCATTCGCTCGCCCTCGCCCGCCCCATCGCCCGTACGCGCGCCCCCTCGCCTGATTGCCTGCCCGGGTGCCAGAGCTCTTGCTAACTATTTGGGCAGTCTGACAAAAAATAATAATCACTTTAGTCTGACCATCATATGAGGGATTATGGGTGATATGATATTCAGATGAAATATTGAAGGCCGTATGAGAAAACAAATGAGAAATTAAACTTGTCATGATTTCTTGTGTAGATAGCGTAGTTGAATTGAATTGGACACGAGTTCCTGTAGGTGGGGAATTGATTCTTGCATGGGAAACGTTGACCCCCCTTGTTTTTTTTTTTTTTTTTTTTTCAGATATCAGACGGATTTATCCTTGCCGTCTCGAAACTCTAACCAGTAGTATGAAAAAACATACGAGTATAAACGCCTTGTCTGAGCTATCATGTGAGCCACATTGTATTGTCCGCGAACATATGAACAACAAAAAATAAGTCTGAAATCTAGACCAACAGACAAAATTATTTTGATAACGAGAGCCCCGCCTGCGCGCCCCCTTGCCCCGCCGCCCACCCGCACGCCCCCTTGCTCCACGAGCCTTGTGGACCCCACGTTGCAGCAGGTGCGGCCAGCACAGTTGTTTAGTGTTTAGAGGAGTGAGAAGCCTTGAAGGATGACCAGGAAGGTGCCAGTGTCTACCGCACCTTCTGCCTCCATCTCACCCTCCATTCTATGTCTCTTCTCATGTCTCGTTCTTACTGGTCACCTTCCCACCACTTCTCACTTCTCAACGCATTAAACTCTCATCACAGCACCCCTCGCCCCACTAGCTTGCCCATCATTGGCAGGCGATGAAGCGGTGGGTGGAGGCACACGGCAGCACCGGCATGCCAGCTGCCATCCTGGCTGTGGGCGATGTCTTCCCCCTCACCTTCGCCGGCCTCGCCTCCCACCAGTACACCACGCTCCCTCCTCGCCCCACCTGTTCTGCTTTTGCATCGTGCTCGTCGCCTCCTCCTTCCTCGGCTGCAGCGGCGGCTAGAGGCAGTAGTGTGGCAAGTGCTGCTCCAGCGGCATCACTCCCTGCCCCCACAGCGCTTCCCATCTGTCAACGTGAGTTGTGGTTGGCCCCATCCTTGCCTGGGCAGAGCCGACTTCATAGTCGGGGGTGCGGTAGGTGCAGCCGACCTGCACCAGTGAGCGACGCTGACTTGGCGAGCTGGAGTTGACAAGTTGGTCGACCTGCATGGGGCCACTGCTATGCCCCCGACTTTGGGACGCCGGCGGTCGACTTCAACCCGGCGGTCGACGAAGAGAGACATCGAACTGGGAGGGCGTCGACTTGGTGACGCCGACCTGGGGAAGCCGACTTGGTATGGTCGGCTGACAGCTGTGCTGGTCGATCAGGGGTATGGTTGACCTGGTGTGGTCGACTGGAGGTGGTCGTCAACTTGGGTGGTCGACGGGCACGAGAAGGAGCAGCTGGTCGACGGGGTTGCCCAGTCGACCAGGTTACCCGGGCGACTGGTTCTGCGGAGGAGCGCGACAGTCACCCAGATGGTTTTGGCGAAGCCGACCTCGGTGGTGGTATCCCGAGGTCGACGTGGCTGATCAGGTGCAGTCAACATCGCGTGGACGTTTTGGTGTCTGCGCTGTGCAGGTGACGAGGCAAAGCACACAACAAGCTGCGAGCACCTGCGATGCGGGTGCACGGCTGTTCTGCGAGTGCAACGCCGTGCAGTCGCCTTGCTGCAGCGTTGGCACGCCGTCGACTTGCACCATTGGCAGACCGCGACTTTGCAGTGCTGGAGCGCGGTCGACCTTGTCGTGCTGGAACGCGGTTGACCATGCTGCGCTGGCAGTTGACCAGGTTGCTTGCTAGCATCTGATGTAGTCTTGCTTGCCAACTTCATTGTAACCATTGCTGTCAACTTTTGCTAGTAAAACTCTTGCCAAATCTCCCCCTGAATGCGCAAGCAGTAAGAGCACAAGTGATCGACTAAGGAACAAACGCAGAGATCACCCTCACACCCGTGCCTTGCCCGTAGTCAAGCTCCCGCTATTTTAGTGATCTCTGCATGGTGCGGTGAGCGTGGACAGCACCGCGACTTACCTTCAGTCTAGTCGACTTAGTTGCACATTACCTATCGTGTTCGTTGGCCGGCAGCTGTGTTAGTCACTATGGTGGGTGCCGTAGGTGACACAAGGGTAGTGGATACCCTGGAGACATGGCTCGCTGATGCGAGGAGACGCCACGTAGATGGCGAGTACGGGGAGAATCTCCCCTTGGAGGTCGAGCTAGGCATCCGCGCAAAGTGGGCGATGGAGCACCCTTCTCGACCCGCCTCTACTCGACCGGTGAACAACGAGGGCGGCGTCGACGTGGGCGTCACGTCGGTGACCAAGTCGGCAGCAGTGCAGGATGCACGTCGAGGTAGAGAGGGGTGTTCCGAATGGGCGACGGTGAAGTCGGCGATGTTCAGGCGCAAGGGCTGCAGTCGTCGGCGGCTGCAGGCTCCTCGCAAGGCAACGTCGGTTGACGTCGGATCAGAGTGACGCCGGCGTCAGCAACCTACGTGACTGCAGGAGGGATCGCACCGACCTACGGCTACTTCAAGTTCACGTTGGACAAGGTCGCCGTCACCACTCCGCTGGTTGGTCGTCACGACCTTCTCACGTGGAAGGAAATTATCGAGCCCCAACTGGAGATGGCCGGGCTGATGTGCTTTGCCGACGTCACCGTGGAGACGCCGCCTGCAAGCAACGCCGAGCTGCGCACGGAGTTCCGCGCTGTGCAGCTGCTGACCTTCACGGTAATCTCACGGTGCTGCTCGTCGGTTGTGCACATCGCCCTGAAGTCGTGCCGGAGTCACCTGGACGCCGGCCACCAGGCATGGCAGTTCATCACGGCGACGTACCAGGTCACGGACGACCTGTACATCGGCCATCTGGAGGAGCAGATGACGCACCTATGGATGGGCGAGCAGGAGACAGTGACCGACTACTACAATAGAGCTCGGCGTCTCCTTGCCTGCATGCGGATGGCCAGCGTCGAGTACTCGACGGCGTCGTACATCACACACGTCATCAAGGGACTCCTGAACAGCTACAACCTGATGAAGCGGCTGACAGTGGTGCAGGGGCACGAGGGAGTCGCTCAACGAGGACTCGCTGACCTAGTACATCCTAAGGGACGAGGCGATACAGGATGCCGAGAAGTCCACGGAGCTCTTGCCGCAGGCGAACTACGTCGCCGCGACGAAGCAAGGAAGTCGGCCGGGGCAACGCGACAAGCCTGGCAGTGGTAGTAGCGGAGGTGGGAGGCCGGCCAAGGACGCCGACAAGCATAAGTCGGCTAAAGATGGTGGTCGAGGAGGAAGGAGTCGACATCGGGAGTGTTGGCTATGCGGCGACCCCTACCACCTCTCTTTCGAATGCCCTGACCGCAGCGACTCCGGCGACGACGACACCAAGGGATGCCGCGGGAGGTCGGCCGGTCGTCGCCCACATCGGGAGAGCAAGCCACGCAAGGAGAAGCAGTCGATCAAGTTGACCGGCGAAGGATGCCGACTCCTCCTCTGGCGGCAAGGGGCGAGGCAGTGTGGAGGCGTCGGGCTCGCTGGTCGGCATCGAGGAGCCGACCGTCTCGCTGGCGCCGGAGGCCGGCGAGGACTTCCAGGCAGTGGCGACAGCCGTGCAGGCAAACCTGGCGGTGGCCCTGCTCGACAGCGGCTGCTCGCACCACCTGATGGGGACGAAGGCAACCTTCGTCGACTTGGGGACGAGCGGCGACATCAAGCACATGCGTGGCTTCAATGGGGTGCTGCAAGACGTCCCGAGCATGCAGGCGAACCTGCTGTCCGCCGGCCAGCTGAAGGAGGGCGGCATGAAGCTGCAGGACGATGGCGGCGGGATGCTTCTCGTCTCGGCGGCGGGGGACGTGCTTGGTCGGGCGTCGTATACCGGAAGGGTCCTATGCACCGACCTTCGTCCGTGCACAGCGACGTCGACCACGACGAAGACGGTGGCTCTTCGGACCATTGCTACGACGACGAAGTCGACGCCTGCAAGGTGGGACACGACGCTTGCGCATGTCGACGTCGACACCATCACGAGCTCGGCAAAGCATGAGGTCGCCACTAGCCTAGACATCACGCCGTCAGCCGGCACCGACTCTCCGTGTGTCTCGTGCGTCGGCGGGAAGCTGGCGCAGCACACCTTCCCGGACAACGGCTCGGACGCCGTTGACGCTCTGGCCGTCGTGCACATCGACCTGTGCGGGCCGTTTTGGGTGGCTGCCAAGGACGGGAGCCTGTACTTCTTGCTGCTGAAGGACCGAAAGACCCGCTTCCTGTGGGTGAGGCCGGCCGCCAAGAAGTCCGACGTGCTGTGGGATTTCGGGAATTGGCCGGTGGTGGAGGAGCGGTAGACGAAGACGTCGGTGCTGATGTTGCGCTCTGACAGGAGAGGGGAGTTCCTCGGGAAGGAGTTTCCTGACTTCGTGGACGTCAAGGGAATCGTCCACTACCTGACCTACCCCTACACACCGCAGCAGAACGGCATGGCGGAGCAGGAGATGCGGACGGTGATGGAGTCGGTGCAGACGATGCTGCTACACATGGCGTGCAGCACCACTGGTGGCACCTCGCCTTGCGGTAGGCCGTCTGGGTTTGCAACTGCCTGGAGAGGTCGACGCTGCTGCCGGGGACGATGCCATACCAGCTGCTGACCGGCAAGAAGCCCGACCTCGTTCCATGGCTACATGGCGCAGTTCCTGGTTCCAGAGTAGCAGCGTGGTGGAAAGTTGAAGCTGAAGGCCAGGTGGGGTCTTCACCTCAGTGTGTCGGAGGAGAGCAAGGGCTGGGAGCTCCTCGACCTCACCGACAACAGGGTGGTCACCACGTCGGACGTGGTGTTCTACGAGACGATGTCGCTGGAGGTGTGGATGTTGGAGCACGGGCCGGCATCGGGGCGGACGTCGGCCAACCTGCCGATGGTCACCTCGATGGCGACCCTTCCTCTGCTCACCGAGGTCGGTGAGCCTGTTGATGCAGACGCCGAGGATGATCTCCCTCCCTCCCTTTTCCTTGACCTTCCTGCCCCAC